AGTGAAAGCATTGTTGTTAAACCTCGTTCACCACGAAGAACAATTTTTATTGTATGTTTTTCTGATAAATTATTTTCTGATGTTAACATTGATATAACATACTGTTTAGCTAAACAGAAAAACTAATTTAAGATTTACAAATTTCAAAAAAAAAGTTTTATTTCTAAAATACAATGATGTGCTACTGATGAGAGAACATTTTTTTTAAGTGTAAAAGAATAAAAATCCATGTCATTGATTGATTTTGGTAACTCATTATTATATTGAAAACTTTAAAGAAAAAAAATTTTTTCTTTTTCAAGATTTAAATTAATTGAATATAAAAGATCCATACTAAAAATGTTGACCTTGAAAAACATTAAGAATAACGATTTCTTTTCCTATACAATAATCGATTAATTTTCGATTATATCCAAGTGTAATAGAATTTAACTAGAATTATAAATTTCAATTAAAATAAAAACAAAACAAAACAAAGAGAGATGTGATCTATACAGGCATTATACAAACTGTTGATAGAGCTAAAACTGATACAAAATCAGCTCGAATAGTAATTGTTTCTTCTACAGGATTTATTATAGTATTTTGACAATTAAATTTAAATTCGATTGGTAATGTTATTTCTTTTGTAATTAAATCCGAACCAGTTATCCATAGAATAAATGATGATTCTTTGAATAAAAAAAAAAAATATTTCATATGATTTTTAAAATTCTCATTTTTTATTTACTTGATTGAACTTGGTTGAATAATGTTGATGTTATTGGCATATCTAATAATCGAATATGACCATTTAATGTTTGACCATTTTCAATCCATTGTTGAATGTTAACTCTGAATTAAGATGTTGAAATTATTCTATTCGATATGTACTTACTCATAATATTGTTTACGATAGATGTACATTGTTGAAAGGAAATAAGCACCATCATTGTGCTTATTATTTTCAAGTTTTATTTGATATTCATATAATAAACCAATATCGAGCATAGTCAATTCGAAAATATTTGGACGAGTACGAATTTCTAATGGTATAATTGTATTATATTTCATATTTATTCGATGTGCTGATGTTCGACCATATTCTATATACAAGTATTAATAGATTCTCTATCATTTTCATATACGGAAAGTTCCATTCGTTAGTAGCGTGATTTTGCAAAATTAAAACACTTATCTCTCGGGATAATGAGCTTTCCTAGAGCTAATTTTTAAAGGCTACATGTACGTTAAGTTATTCTAGATACGCTGAAAAAAATCAGCACTAGAAATCTTTGTTCAGAGAAGTTGTTAGTAAAAAACTAGAGTTAGCGACATGACATAAAAAAGGACATTGACTTGCACTCCATAGAGCTCAATTCAAAAAAACTCCGAATTGAGGCAGCATTTTGAAAACTAAATAGTACATTCTGTAGACACCTCCTAAAGCTACAAAATCTCTATCTATGAGCATGCTTAGATTCTTCAAAAAAAAGATTCATTTACTATTCATCAGCAATATGACGAAGTACGAATATACGAACGATAAAATGTGATAGGATCTTTAGAAAACCAATTATTTTAGATTTTGATCTTGTTAAAAATTTCATCATAGATGCAATTTGTATCGTAGAGTCTATCCTGAAATTTTCAAACTTTTTTTTCTCTTATGATTAGAGAAATATACGCTAATTACTTTTTAATTAATAGTTAACTGAAGGAGTCAACATGTTTTCATATGTCTATGCTAAAAGAACTTATTCCAAAAAATAATTCTTGCCAAGAATCAAAGTCAAATGAAAGGTAAGTTTGCCCGTTTTGCTTGAAATGACCCATATGTGTAGAACTGAATTATATGAAAGAAATTTTTTTTCTTTTTTCTTATTAGACTAACGTTCAGAGATGGAATGGATGCTGATTACCGGTTGGTCTTATTTAATTATTTTGCTCTTAGTATCTCATAGCTCAGATGTAATGAAAACTTTATTGGAAATTGACTATGTTAAATATCACTATTCACAGATGGAATAGTACGATAACTTGTCAGTCCACTGTTGATTTGAATTTCAGACCGATTTCATCTCTGCTAGGGTTCATTACACATTTGCATATCTTTTATTCTTATGTTAAAGTACTTACTTCCGATTAGATCGATTGATAACATTGATCCATCAACATTACCTTTTGCTTGTGAAATTTCAATAAGTAACATATATTTAACATTATCTAATATTTGAAGAAAGATTACTTTATATATCAATAAAAAGCTTTACCCCGTTTTGGTTGTTCAATATTTTCAAGCATTTCTATATGTGTTGAATTCAGCATAAAAAATTTTAATAGTTTTTATTTACTCTTAGGCACATAACCTGGTAATTGATTTGGAGTTAAAATTAGTCGTGTTCGTCCATCACCTATATTTGAATGAAGCCAACGTTGTACATCAAATCTAATAGAATTCAAAATAATCTTTTAAAATCAAAAAAATATTTTTGATAAAACTCACCTTTGTAAATATGATTTTCTTGGAATACTAATTTCAATCCATTTAATATATAATCCTATATCTTTATTTGATAATAATTCAATTCCAATAGCCATAATCTATTAAAATAAAAATTTATTTATTTCATTATTTTCTCTTATAATCATAAATAAAATTTATTAACTTCGCCAACATCTTTATATACAAAATTCGTTTGTATTCGACCATCTCGTGTTATTTCAATAGGAAACATAGATGATAAGCAATGTCGTCCATGAAATCGAATAATACATTGTATATCTTCTTGCCATTCAATTTTTTCATATTCAATCGTTATTGAACAACCAAGTGACGTTTCCAATAAACGACAATGTAATAAAGATGCTATATGGGAAGTATAAGAAAAAAATGTAAACTTCAAAAAATAATCATCATACAATTGCTTAAATTGTTTGTCATCAAAATCATTCGTATATAATATATTACGAAAAAAAAAAGAAATCAAAACAAAATTATTTCATTTCGTAACTATAAGAAAAACAATAAAAAAAGAAATATGCCGTGACCCGGGATCGAACCAGGGACCTTCAGATCTTCAGTCTGACGCTCTCCCAACTGAGCTATCCCGGCGAATGGATTATAGAAAATTAAATAATTTCTATTAATCATTGGCGCCTTATAACATTCTTTTTGTTGTTGTTTTTTTCTTTCTTAACAATGATAAATAATGTATTATTCAATCGTATTTATCTGGTATTTATCTTATTAAGTACTCAATGTTTAACATTAAAACTTCGTTCAATTCAATTAAATATGTATATGACATCATCATTTGATTTTTGTATGCGTTACTTAACAAAAAATTCTATGACTGGTTGTTCATCACATAAATCAGGTAATCGTGGTCGATTAATTGATATATCATCATTAAATGAACTTATATCATATAAATATTCATATCCAATTATTGTTCTTATACCTGCAAGAAAAGATATACTTGATTTTGCTATATTTCATGCTCCAATGATTGTTGGCATACTTATCGATGGAAAAATTATGAATATAACTGATAAACATTTTACAGAAGTAAATACTTGTCCAGAAGATTTAATTGGCTTATCAATATCAACAAATTGTTCAATTAGAAAAAATAAATATGGTATTGATTTTCGTAGAATATTTATTGATAAACCAATTTTTTTATTAACTAATGAAACAATGGTTGATAACTTAAGAAAAATTAGTTATTTATATAATCAACAACAAATATCTAAAGGAAGATATATTAATGCACAGTTAAATTTTTTTTGGTTTATAATGAAAATAAATAGGAATCTTTTTTTCTATAGTATGAAATCATATCCATATGGTATTAAAAATGCTCAAATTTGCAATCGTCGATCGAAATCAACTTATTTTGGTAAAATTTTTATCAGAAATTAAATTTTAGTTGAATCGAGTTTCGAAACAAAAAGATAGCGGATGATGAACAAGAAAGGAAAACAAAGTATTCGAATATGTAATTCTTACGAGGGAATATTTCCAGGTGATGAATCGAGAACTTAATGCATTTCGTAAACCTTAGTGACTTATCTCTATCATAAAAAGAGTTCATGCTTATGGAACGTTTCTAAGAAGATCGAACATTTTTAGTGAATGTTCGCTGTCAAGATCCCACTTTTGCAGCATGATCATATTTTCGAATTTTGGCTTCAAGCTTTACTCACATGAAGGCATCAATTAGACCAGATTTCATAGAAAATTTTAGAATCTTTGGATTAAGTCTCTCCGATATATGAAGCCGTCAAAAAATACAAGCTGTATATACCAGAAAATGGATTGGTTCAGTTTTTTTCAAAATTTAAACTGAAGTAAAACCGAAGTTGATTTGAGATATTGAGAAGCAAATCAAACTCAAATTTCAGGATTC